CAAACAACTACACAATAAAAAGCTTATTTGATATTAGAAGGATAAGATATTCCCCATGGAAACATATTCAGTATTTTGCTAGATAGATATAACCAAATTCTAGTGACAATGAAGAAGCTACTGTAACAGTACTACAAAACACAACTTTATGCAACATATATATGCTTGTCTTAACTCCTTAGGACATTACAGTTCTGCCACTCTGACAAAATATTTTTCCTTTTTATTTAAACTGTTGTAGGGGCTTGGTGATTTGCCACTAAACGCGAAGTCAATGTGATTTGTTGACTTAATTTAACTTATAAAGAAACATCCTCCCCTGAGTAAGCTCCTAACAATATTTTGTCAAGCGTGTACTGCTGTACTAAGAATTTGGAGTGTTGCACTTGCTCAGAAAAAGTTCTCAAAGCCACAATGCTTGAACTCATTTTGCTTCACTATGTACATTTTACGCTATGCACAAGACAGATAGATCTGTTGCATGGCTAAAATTAACACTCTCTTTACAAAATGAAACATTTTTTAAAATCTTGCAAAATTGATTCTAACAGCACAGCCACAATTCAACCCATAATTTTAGCTGTACTGTGACTGTGCACACACAGTAATGCGCATGTTCAAAATACACTGCAAATTGAGCCAGTGTAGAAGAAGTCAAAGGACTTAACAAATGAAGGTGGTTTTTTTTTTTTTTCAAACCTACAATATATTCAGCTTCCACTGCTGAGTTAATATTGTTGAGCTCATACAACGTTTTACTTTAAGAGTGGCATTGTTGATAGTTAACAGGTAGTTAGTCTTAGATTCAGGATGCAGATGTCAAATTAAGTGAGAATAAAACAAATGGAAGATATTTGAGCCAAAACTGGATAAAGGGAAGTTGAGTAGAAGTTATTGCTACAATGTAAGAGTGTGAGAAATCACTCCACAATGTCACAAAGAAGAATTACACCATATTGTTTTAGGCCAAGGGAAAATTGCTGTCCACTTCTTCTCAAGCTTACACTTCATTATTTTATTCTTTAGCTAGACTGAAGGTAAGGGTATTTTTCTTTGGTCACAGACAAAATGCATTTGCCCTAAAATGACTGGCTGAACTATAAAATTCTGGGGGCTGGAATGAGATTTACCTTGAGATTTATTTTGTTCAGGGCCTAAGTAAGGGAAGCAGCGATCCTGACTGTACCCTACCACCAATGCTGTAATACAAAAGATAAAAAATTGCCCCCTGTCCAATTGATACCGAATCACATTTGGCTACATACTAAAATTTCGTTGCCTGTGTACCAGAGGTCGGTAACTGCCTGAATGTCGTATGAAGCTATACACTGAACATTCCTGATCAAAACCTGAATGCATATTGATGTTCTGCTTAGTTCACAAGACCCAATTCTGGACATCCCACAAAGAAGAAATTCTGGCAATATTAACTTTGGCTGAGAGCTGAATTAATGATGGGAACCTAAAATGCATTTAGGCAGTGCACTTTACAAAGAAACAGGATGATAGGACAGTTTGCTTTATGCCTGCCTCTTTAGATCCATGGAATCAGAATCAGGAACTTGGAGGAATGGTTCTACTGGGAGATCCAGGTTTGCCCTTATGATATTTGTCCACACTATGTAAAATTCACATAACTTAGAGACCTAGTGAAATGGCTAATAAACAAAGAGGACATCAGTGATGAAATCAAGTCTTTAACTTCATTTAGTACAGTAGTTAAAAGACAGCTTCAGTTTTTCTTCCTAGCTATGAGGTATTGGATCTATCAAATACAGCCACTTAGAAACAGGAGGCACAGTACCTTTTCATCCTTATCACCCTTTGTTGACATCCAGACTGCTCTAAAAGACAGCTTATAACTTTGCTCATTCTAGTCAAGGAGCAGATGACCTGAGAAAAACACATAAGCTAGTGCCAAAATTAGGCCCTTTTCCTTTGACTTGGTCTCTAGTGAGAAAAGATCCAAGACAACAAATAAAGTTAAATACCATTTCCTAAGTCTGGATCTTGTTCTGGGCACAACACAAAGAATAATATCCACAGATCTTTACAACAATGGGGCTAGGCTTTGGTTTATTTGTTTGGTGGTTTTGTTTTGTTTTAAAAAGCTGTTTTTTTCCACGATACAAAGATTTCCCACAGCACATACTGAGGTATCTGATCAAAGTTTTAGACTCTTATTTTACAGTCCCTGTCTCTTGTTTGTGAGCTCATCTCTCTGGGAATTAGGCTATAAAAAAAAAACACTGAAAAGAACAAGATGTTACAAAGGAACTTGCATGAAAAGCAATTTTGCTATTTTGTGTTTAAAATTTTTGCTATTAAAGTGTTTTAAATCTAAATGGCTTTTCATTCTGACTCCCCAACAAATCATTTTCATTTGTGTTTAATTAAAAAAACGAACAAACAAACAAAAAACAATATAACTGTTCAAGGAGAATTATTATAGATGAATTACTACTGCCAATGAATCATTCAAGCTTTCAATAGGAAAGCACAAAGCCTGTCAAATAAATAAACATAATATTTAAGGGAGGCCAGGCATGCTATCAAATGGACAGATCACTTCACCTAACAGACAAACACAGGAGTTACTCTGTTCTCAAGCTACAATGTCCTTTATCAAAACACTGTTTGTCTGAGCACTCAATGCCCTGTTTGTAGAGATTTTGGACTAGCTCACAATCCACATCCACAGGCAACCTGTTTAATCAGACTGGTTGAATCACAACACAACCTGCTGCTGCATACAGAAGAGATGCACATTCATTTTTCTGACAGTTTGAGGTTTTTTACCCTTCATTCACCTGTACTTGCTCCACATCCTGCACAAACTTCACTTCTAGGTCTCTAATATTTGGTTCTTTTTCTGTTTCCATGTGTCTCTACACAGTAATGAAAGCTGAAATTAGTTTTTCATTGCTTGTATTATCATATGAGAAACAATTATCAATTTTAAACACCTTACAAACACATAATATGTACAGCCTTTAAGACTGCCATTCTAAGAATCAAACGTTACAACCCTTTTCACTATTTTGATCTTTCTTCTTTTAGCATGCTCAGTAATCAAGCAGCACTTTGCCCGATAATGGCCACAAGAAAATCACAGTAAAAAGTGGAGCTTTCACATCAAGCCATTTTAAAGGTAACTCAAACTGGAATAAACTAACAAACTTTCCAAAAATGGACTTAAAATAAATATTCAGGACCCGATTTCCAGGATAAGGAGGGGTCTAAGGCTTTTCTTGAACAATATATTGTCCTATGTAACAAGAGTCTCTGCATTAATGGCAATTAAATATTCACTAACAAACTGTAGTTGGCATTCCAGCCAGCACAAACAAAAACTATCATAGCAAAAGAAACAAACAAAAAAAAAGAGGCAGACACCTTCAAGAACCTGCAATGGAAAGCTTTAGAGGCATATTAATGGATTTCCACTCAACAGCTTATTACAGAATAAGTATTTTCAAATGACAGCAGCATGCCATTTTAACTATGAATAAAATAGTATTTTCTCAACTCTATTTACAGACTTTTGCAAAGCACTGTTCAAAAACAGGTGTTTTGTTCCATCCATATGCTATATTCTCAGAAGAACGTTATTGACATTTTCAACTCCAGATATTCAGATAGGCCCAAGGTATTTGGGAACACAGCTGTTATTTGCAATTTCATACCTTTCAGCATTTGTGAAATTACCAGTCAAAGAAAGAAGAAAATTTGTTTTGACTTTTCAAAGTAAGTTTTTGAAACACAACAGTTGGAATAGGAGTCTGAGGCTGACATTTGAGGCATGGTGTATTTCTTTCAATGTCACTGTCCTTATACTTACAACTTTTTGTTGGTATCTTGCTACTTATACTTTTTATCAAACAGAAAAATGCCCTCAGAACATCAGCCATACAAGCACCAAAGCTGGAACGCTGCACTTGAAAGCATGAAACTCTGCTGCTTCAGGTTAAAAAGATTTTGTCCAACAGTTCAGAGGAAGCAGCCAATACGCAAAGCTCCGTATGTGGTCTAGCTCTGGGCTCTGTACAGCCATCATTTACTACTGAGTGTTATTTTAAAATGATACTGTTGTACCTGAGTAAAGATTACACTGGCTTCTCTACCCTTATCCCTTTTAATGACAGCGATTCAGTATTCAGTGAATTCAAGGTGTATTTGACAATGAAATAATTTCCAAGGGTTGCAAAGGAAAATGAAGTATCTGACATTTAATAATACGTAAGGAAAAATACCTCTCCGCAGTGTTTATGACTGATAGCTTTACATTCATCTCCAGAGAATTCACAACAGAATGTTGTGACACAGTGACAACACAATGAATAAACACAGCCATGCAGTGATGCTAGAAAACATAAGAAAATACAGGCCACTCCAAAATTTTCTTGGAATTCCCTGCTCACCTTGAACAAGCTTGTTAAATGGGCATATGCATATCTCAGAGATCAGTGTTTCTCAAACTTGTTCAGCGGCTTTGAGACAAATAGTATTGTTCAGACTACCCTCTACATGTGCCTAACTTCAGTGTTTTGACTGCTGTGCAATTTAAGATAGCAGTGAGCACTTCAGATTACCTAAACCTCCATACCATCAATGAAAGACAATAACAACATGTTTATGTTGCGCACCTGTAAATAGCAGTTAAACATCCAAACACCCAAAGTGATATCCCAAGTAGGTGCTAAGATTCTCAACCCACACAACATACGAGTTTCAGTGATGACATAAGTGGGTACAACATCAAACTGAATTATAGGTGAGCTGGATCACTTTACAGCTTAGCTGAGTTTAGTCTCATGTTTGAGGACAAACTTTTCTCTTGTTCAAGAACCTTCCCAACTGCCTCTTAGTAATGTCACTCTGAGACACATGAATTTGATAATGAGCATATTAAGTGCAAATATCTACAAGTCCAATCAGTTACACAACTGAATTTTTAAGACCTGTTCAGTATTTGCAGGGCTAATCCCACCACCTCTTACTTTTCTTTTCTTTTTTTTTTTTTTTTTTTTCCAACCAGGAGAAAGATCAGGATAAGTACTAGTCTTAATGGATACACTTAAAATATTTTCAAGAAATTTCTTTGGAAATAAATAGAAACTCTCAACAGCCTACTGATCATGTACCTGAAACTTACATTTGCAAGAACTTGAATAAAAGCACTCCAAGGAAAGGCAATATTCCGAGGAGATAATGAAGTCCATGGATTTCTCCAATAGTTGCTAACAACTGTTCAAGGACCTTATACATATCTATAGGAAGAAGCATGACATGACTTCAAATCACAGACAAGCTGATACTGAATGGGCATAGGCTACATGCACATCCTATCAGCCCCACGTCCACTTTTGTCCAGCTCTACAGTGTGAGTTCACTCAAGCTAGCTACTCACTGTACCCTGGAAGACAGAGATCAATAATAAAATCTTGAGCCTTTCATACCTTCTTTAGTTATCTAAATAAAAACTACTAATTTCAAAATCCATCAAAAACTACTGTGCTCTGACTTGTTTAATGACCTTTAGGGAACACCATATTGCCTTTAGGCTAGTTCCTACATCCAGCAGGCAGCTATCCAAAGGTATTTAGGCACCTACAGATACATGAAGCCTCCTAATCAGATCTGCATTGTGAATTAGGAGTCTAATTTACTTAGGCAATTCTGAAATCCCATTTAGCGTCTAATGACTCTTAAGCAAACAAATACCACCGAAAATCTGACTCCAGGTCACTTAAAGTATAAAGATTGTAACAACAGATGACAGTAGTTGGTAGTCTAAATGCAATGGCTACACAGCTTGTCAGACCTGCAACTTGGCCTTTAATTCCAGAGGTAAATCTCCTGGAGAAGGAATGAAGGACTTACTAGAATATATATGAAGAAAACTAGGCCACTATAATAGCATGGCATAATTATATAGAATATTGTGCATGTACACAATTTTACTAACATTTCCTCCAAGGCAGAAGATCGCATCGTACTATCAGTGAACATTCTGAAAAAGCACCAAGTGGTGCCTCAAACATAAAAGGACTCAGAATGATTTCTTCAGCATGGTGCAATATCAAATTAACCTACAGTCAACCAAACATTCTTCTCTTACCACTCTTCAGGGATTCAGCCTATTGGAAGCTGTTCTGTGAGCAAACACATTGCTGCTACTGCTTGAGCAGCACATACCTACACTATATCCTCACACTGTGCTTCCACAGAAGTGCCACAGTAGAGACCCAACAGCTTAAAACAAGACTTTTGATTCCACTGTTGATCCAGCAGACATTCTTCAACCATCTATCACAGCATGCTAGCAAGAGAAATGAATGAGTTTATGTATGCTGGAACCAGTACAAGTAATGGTTTAAAACCAGTCTGGTTCTGTTAAAGTCAAAGTCGATGAACACCAACAGTGTCTATGAGCTTTTTTTTTCTTTTTTAAACAAAGCCTCTTCTAGGCACATAACAGTTTCATTCCCAGTAGCTAAACTGAAAACACAGTGATTTTGAGATGTGTTATTAAATGAAGTGTTTAAAAATACACAGTTCCAGAATGCAACTGAAAATTCCTGTCTCTTCCCTGAAACATAGCAGAGCAGAATTGCAGAACAATGTAGTTCCCTCATCAGGCCAGCCAATCCACATAAACACAAATGAAATTATGGCTCACTGAAAAACATTTCCTAGCTACCCACTAAAATAGCTCCGAGAGGCCAGGTCCATACATGGAATAAAATGCCTTTCACTGCAGTCCTAAGCCAAACTCTCATCTGGAATGACATTTTAGGTAACATAAACAGTTTAAGGCAAATGTCGAGTAGAGCAGACTAGTTTTATACAGTCTGAGCAACAAAACCGAGATACGTACTGTACTGAATTAAACTCTTTATATTATTTCTACTTAAAAAGGAAATGCATTGATTGCAACAGTTGTATAAATCTATCTTTCATGACAAACACTTCCTCATTTTGCTTTAGATTTCACCAAACAGCAGCAGCATGGATCAAAGCAAAGGCTCTGTTCATTTGAAAAAGCATAAAAGCTTTGCCCTTCCTACTCTGCGAGCTGCTTCACTGGTGACTTCTGTCCTCCCACCACTGCTGCAATGAACTTTGAACAATACTTAGAAGGAGCTCTCAAGGTACTTGACTCAGACAGATTCTTTTCAAAACACCTGCAAGGAGGTGGGATTTGCATTTAGCCACAAAAATCCTCTAATACATTTGTATGTATTCAAGGCATGAGTAACTAAACCTTGTAACTTCCTGCGGCACAGAACAATTCCCATTTTATATGGGAGCAGAGGGGGGAAACAAAAGAAAACAATTGATCAGCAAGACAGCACATAATAACAGACTGTTATTATGCTGAGATACTGTATGAGTATGAGATACTGTTTGTATCTCTCAGCCCTATTTCACAGTTTTTACTGAATGCCTGAAAATCAGACTTCCCTGGCGAGCTGGGCAGGACAGTACAGGTGCAATTGGGATGCTTCGACATGTATATTCAGCACAGCCTGCAACACCTGCCTGCCACACCACTTTCTGTTCACGAATTGGGTGGCACAGGATTGAAGGAGTTTGCCTAAGGTGACAGAAGAACATAAGGATCCAGAGCCCCTCATTCTAAGCACCAGCTCCATGCTTTCCCTATTGCTACCTATGAAATACATGGCAGAGAAAACAGCGCAACACATGCTGAGGTGCAATAGGACATTCTTATGTTTAGCCTGGACAACAGCAAAACGCAGCAAGCAATTCTTGCTAACTATTACCTTAGATAAAAATGCAGAATTGCAGCAAACACACACGAGTACATTCATGCCAGCAAAGAGACAGAGAGTTTTCTCTAAGTCAGAGGTCAAGAAAACACAAAAATAATATTTTAGAGGACAAACTTCTTGCAGATTGTCTGGAGACAGCAACTGCAATCACTGATCCTGAATAGCTGGGTTTGACAAACATTTTTTATCTTTATTGGAGAACTTCAATGGATGATTTTTTTATTTTTACACTTTGCAACAGACATTCAAAGCAGGACTTGCTGCTTGGATTGGAATTACAGCCCACTAGAGTAACGAGTTACAACCATGAGTTCTCAGTTAAGATTTATGTGGCACAAATGATTCTCGGCTTCAAATTGTAGAATTTGATGCTTCAAAAAATTTCCTCTGATGCACTGCAGAGGGAAAAATAGTCCTCCAGAAGGAACCTCAGTACTGGCATTAAAGAACCTCTTCACTTTTCCTTTTTCAAGGAAGTTGGGGGGGGAGGAAGGGGGAAAAGGGAAAAAATACCCTATTTAATCATCTGAAGTACCTACTAAATCATTTTAAATGCCTGAAGAACATCAATAACAAATAAATTAATTTAGATCTGACCATCTGAGCCTGAACCATCCAATCTTGATCAGCTTTAAAATACCACATATAAGCAATTTTCAAGGATGCTCAGATGAGGGATGCTAATTCAGGTCCCACTGGTGAAAGAAGAGGAAAGATAGAAAGGAATTTTGAGAGTACTCACATTACACAGATGCAGTTTTGAGGGATCAGCTCTAGTGAGAGCCAGATACAGAAATAATGTGTGTAGATTTCTGTCATCACTGAACAATTTCTTACTGCCAGTGAGCCCTTGCTTCTCAACAAGATGCTGCTCAGGATGGGAAATATAAAGACCAATGCCAAGGGTTCCAAATAGAAATATGACAATATATAAATAATACTCTGAATTTAAGTTCTGGTAGATTGATCAATAAGAAAGAGAAGTAAGAGTGAAGTATATCAGGCTGAGCAAATGAGGAGTAAAGGTCTTCTGGATTACACTGACATCTTTGCCTTGTCGAAGGAGTCAGTGGCTATATTGGATTATGTCACCTGAGACTTTAAATATAATCATACATTTCTAATGAAAAATTGCACATGTGCTCCATATTACCTTAATTACAGATTACAATTACAGCAGCACCACAACTGGGATGAAATCACTATAACTGAACCTCTCCGTATTCCGTTTCACACAGACATTCCACAAGAGCCTCATGCAGCCTCAGCTGACACAGGTCTTCCGCAAATTCAAAGTGCACAACATGAATTCTGTCTGGATGTAAGGAGAGGGCTTCACTGGTCTTGAAATGGCTCAGAAATGAAAGAACATTTAATTTCTATATAGAACACAAAGGTTCCTTGAAGCAGGAGCTAAAAATAACTGGAAGCATTTTCCCTTAGAAAAAATGCACAGCCCTGTACCCTCTGGGAAAACACTCATCAGTGATCACTACAGACTCATGATGATGATGTCCTTAAAGCCACAAGGACTGACTGATACACTGGGACACCCATATCTCACAGAACATGTACTTCAACAGCAGCATTACAAGGATGAAAATCTGTTCCTAACTATTCCAGATACCTCCAATTCAAACTCAGAGGAAGAGGAAATTCAGACTCACATTTTGCTTGTCCAGCGTTAATAACAGTCTATATTGATACTACTACATGAGAAGCTCTAGTGATAGCAGTTTGCCCAAATCCAGGTTAAAACTTAGTTCTTAATCCAGACTGGTCCCTAAACCTGAGTCTAACATGAACCAGTTACATAAGGAAATCACCTCCTCAACCATTTCTTAAAAGAATTCAGCAACAATCTGAGGAGTCGAGGTTGTAAAGGCTCAAAGAAACTCAGATTCTCCTCCTGCATTTTGCATTCTCCTCAATGTCCCCTTCCTGTGGTTGCTCTCTCTCTTCACAGTGAAGCACTAAGACACATTCTCCATGGTATTTATAAAGTAATAGTTTGCACAAAGAGCACCCCAGTACAGTAACACTTCTTAACCTATGCTCAGCTACAGCAATAATGAGCACTTTACCGGTGGCTTCACTGGCAACACAACACATCACATTTGCAGTTACTCAGTGAGGATGGCAAATGTACCCTCTTGCTCCAAAAGCAGCAATCCCAAAGTTCGGAGATGGAGACCATTCTCCAATAGTTACTCCCAAGGCAGCAGAGGATGTAATAGAAACTTAATTTATATATCTGGGAGCCTAAGGAGAAAAAAAAAAAAAAAATGTTTTCCTACCTCCCCTAAGCTTCTCAAGGAGCCAAATCAATTCAATTGGTTATCTACTTTGAGGCAAATTAAAAACATTACCCAGAAGAGGCACATTCACAGCATTAACAAGATACATAAGGAGGGAAGCAGGAGTCCAGAGCTTGTTTTTTGTCTGGAACCGAAGGACAGGGTACAACTTTATGACTTGTTTCCTAGGCAAGGAATACAGCCCTGTGCCCTGCCACCAGCCAGGCTCTGCAGCTGCCCAGCCCTTTCCTCCCACTTTAGCACAGCTCTCCATCACTCCAACAGAGCACTGGCCCTTTATCCAAGTCAGCTTTAACACAGCAAGCCTCTGCCGTGCCACTAGGACCTGATAAAATGAAAAACAAAAACCTCACACACCAAGAAATGGAACTGTTCCCTGATGCCAGAGTAATTACAAACAATCAACAGCAGGAAAAAAAAAAAAAAAAAGAAGAAGAAAAAAAAAAAGAAGAAGAAGAAAAAAAAAGGCTGTTCTCCAAACTCCTTCATTTTCAATGGCTCAGAAATTGCAAAGCCATCCATGTGACTCTTGAAGGACAAAAAAAAATTGCAACTCAGATTTTTTTCCACTTAGAGCAAGCAGTGGCAGCCTAGCTTCAAACAAAAAGACTTGTTCAACATATTTAGTTAATATTTACTGACATAAATAATATCTTGCTTAATGGTTTAATTTACTTAACATTGACTTCCACAGCAAAATACATACAAGCTGACCTTTCAAGTTCTGTGTCCTCTTTTTCTAAAGAAAAATTCCTAAAGGTCTGCAAACTATTCAAAATAGTGAGAGAGGTGTTTGAGATTTCTTTTGCTGCCTGTCCTCTTCATTTAAAAATGTCACTTGTCTCCTTTTTGAGCTCTGCAGTTTCCTTAGAGGTCTTAGATTTAGACTCGTTAAACCATTAAAGTGAGCAAGCTCTTACCGTTTGGAAAATAGCTTTTCTCCCCAGTATTTTTCCACATGTTTGAATGCTTGGGTTTCTTGTTTGCTTGTTTTAAACTTTTAAGCGAGCTGAATAAAAACACCTCTTCCCTGGAGAGTTAGTCATTTTTTGTTCTCTCAGTAGCCTCGAGATAATTCTACCTGATAATCAGTTATGATCATACATTCTGGCAGAAGTAAATAAATAACAGAGGAAACAAAACATGCTTTTTCTCATATAGAAGAAAAACAGAAGCGGCAAAAAAATAGGGACCTTTCAGCCTTTTTTTTTTTTTCCACATAGAGCAGAAAAAAAGGCAAAAACACAAAAATATCACAAATGTACTTTTTATCCTCTATAGTCTGCTTAACAATAGCTTGCAAAAGTCTTCTAAAGGACATTAAAATTTCATTCATTTAGTTCATCCACTTTGCATATAGGGGGAGAGGGTACATAAATAAAACCCCTCTGCTCGAGGACAACCATCTAGCAGGCAGTTAGCTTTGCAAGTGTATCATAAACAAAATTTTTAGATTCAAAATTACATTACCTTATAAAATATTAAAGTGGCAGGAAAAGGAAATTATCATAAGATTTGCATAATGGACTAAATTACTTTAGATTAAAATCACTGAAGTACTAGACAGTTTTTTTAATAATTTATTTATTTGTTTAGATTGAGGAAATAAAACAGTTGCTGCATGAGATACCAGCAGACAGCAGTTTTGTGCACCCTCAGTTTCTTGTTCCTCAGGCGGAGTCTATTTGTTTCCTATTTTTCTTTGCGCTCCTTTGCTTGAGTGGTGCCAGCTTTCCTAATTTGGACATCCAAAAGTTAACCAAAGACTTGTTATGCAGATTCCTTCCATTGTAAATTGAGTTGGAATAACTCATCCTTCAGAGAAGCTACAGTGCCACTGTTCAGTCTACAGAGTGAACTCTTGTAAGACAGACTGTCATGTGCTCTGGTTGGAATACTGGTAATTTTCTAGTAGGAACACTACCCGTCTTACTCCAGTATTCACAGTGAGCTTTGAATACAGCCCTTTTCTCAGCATAAACCCAAACCTGCAGGATATGCCACATGGGCAGCTGCCACAACAAAAAACAGTTAATTCTGCCACTGCCCTGCTTGAACTGACTGAAGAAAACAAAAAGAGAGGGACAAATACTCTTTAAGCCCAGACTAGGGGCTGGTCACCCTGTAGTAGAATAGTACTAACAAAAATTATGTAAAATTGTATTAGTACATTGGAAGGGTTCAAGCATGTAATTCACACACAAGGATGTGAGTGCTGTGTGCAAACGGAGTGAAATCAGTATCCCCATGGCTACAATGCTGAAATTCAGGAAATACCAGCTCTGCTTTAGCAACCACTGTGGACTTTGAGATGATTGGGACTGTTAATTTAACTTATTTATGTGGCAAGTAAGGCAAGTGTTCTGGGGTAGGAATTAATTTGGGGAAAGTGACAATCTTGTTATTTTAGTTTTTTTTGACATGCAGTTATCCCATGTACTGAATGTCCCTCTGTTTCACCAATGTATCTGCCTCACAGCCCCTGCGCTATTACATGTTCCAGGAGCATGGATGATGGTCCTCTAACCTTGGCCATACCAAGACACTCTTTTGCATGAGTTCTCTGAAGCCATTTTTCTCAGATTCAGATCTGGATTCATGTTAGGCTCCTGAGTACATGAGGCATCAGCACTGTACTGAGCTGAAGTTACAACACAGCACTTCAAGTCAGTAGGTATTCCACCACCTAGCAAGAATCCAGAACGGCTTAAAGAAACAGAAGTTCTCAGTGGGAAAAGATAGGTTTTTACAGGAAGATATGGTTCACAACCACTCAGTGGCTATGAAAGTGCTTATCTCAACATTTCATGGAGGGGAAAGCAAAGCAGAAATGAAAGATAGCACACATGACTTCTGAAAAATCTCATGACTTCTGGACTCACACAAAATACTGACCAAACTAAACAAAACATAAAAAGTCTCAATATTTAGATCAGAAGCTTATGGTAGTAAAGACCATTAAAACAACTACAGCAGTGAGTGTTTTCAGAGGTAGTGTCTCACACGTCCATTGCATTTTCCGTTCATGATTACTCAGAAAACACTCCCACAATCCACAAGCAGAAATTCCTGTACTCACTCCAGGGAATCCAAACACTTCTGGGGTAGGTTACAGCAGATGCTTGGAATTGTGCCTCCTCTACATTATAGCCAAGCAAGGGGATATCATCTGAGTTAACGCCTCTATACAATTGCAGAGTGCCAGGTATAGGCAGATCTCTTTCTCACATTTACTCTTACAGGTCCACCAACTGCCTGCCCTGGGTGTTACCATGATCAACACGCAAGTAGCAGGACTGCCTCACACTGAACCATCAACATTGCTTCCCATATCATTTATGTTTTCATACATATTCAAATATTAGATGTGGACAAAACATCCCCCTCTTGACCAGAAAAAAACCTACAGCCTCGAGCACCAGCACGCAAAAAACCCCGATGTTCTTACTGTACAACAGAACACAATGTTGAATTTCAGGCAAAATTTCTGAAGCTGCATCATAGATGGGAAAGTGGAAGCATAGAAGAATGTTGTGTAATTTACCCGCCACCCTGCTCTATATCAGTAACAGAGCTGGAAATAGAAACCTCCCCTATTAACGATACCACATCAAGAGGCATGACAGGTGCTTCACGGAGCCCTGTTCCAAAGCACGTGTAACTAGAATGCGGGCGTAGTGTCTTGGGGAGGCAAGAATGGGTGCTGAGACATGCTCAGTGAGGCTTGTCGGTGAATGCTTTCCCCTGCATCTATCCTGTAAGCAGTCAACAGCTTACAGGAGGTGAATTCTATCATTCTGTCTGCACCTATGTGATGACAAGAGGAGATAACATAACAGTGACTTGCTTCTGATAGAGCCTTGATAATGAAAGGCAATAACCCCAAGGTTCTTCAGTCAAGTAAAATGGTCTTCGTTCCAGTGGGAGCCTTCCCAAATACAAAATGAATTCCATTCTGAGATCTGACCTTAGTTTACAAAGCCATTAGAAACAGAATTAATTCTGAATTAATGCAAGGACAGACCGTGGTTTGTCAAGATGCCAAGTCAAGCAGACTTTCCAGAGCATTAAGCTTTGCTTGAGCAGCTAACTGTCAACCAGTAACTGGCTCAGCAACAATGAGTCTCCTACTGTAAGGAGGTCTGTAGCAGCCAGCAGCTCACGAAGGCAAGATTTCTGTCATTCACTTCTAGCAGGATCTGCTGTGTCCTTGTACTCACACCTTGGAATTCACAAAAGACTTCTGTTGCCAGGTGACTCAGTTCTTGTTTTAGCTGACATGCCAGAGAAGTTGGCATGACATTCCTGAAGGTCATGAGTTTATATAAAATTATTATTATTATTTTCCAATTCAACTGCTAGATTTCACTTGTAAAAATTTCCCTGAATTAACTTGTGTGTGTATAAATCAGAGAGAATACAACTGCTGAAACATGAGCCACTGTCCACTAACAGTTAATTTGCTTTAGCTTGTGTAACTGGGAACATATTAAAGCATATTTAAAGCCTATAATCTCCTGAAGTTCCTACAGACTTTTCTGCCTTCTAACAAAGATGGAATTGCTACAGTACTGGCAAACACTGGTAGAGAACTAAAAGCTATGATACACAGGAAATAATTTGTCATTAAATTTTAGTCTTACTGTAAAATAAAAGGAACTATACTATCTAGAAACATACATCATCTCTCTTCTCTGATAGCTTATAATCTTTTCTAAGAGAAGAAGGGCATGTCGGGAATTAGTATTTCTTACGGCTGAACCACAAGCAAGGCTTGGTAAGTCAGATGATTATTAACTTTTTAAAAACGAATGAACAAAACAAAAATACCCCATATTTCACCTAAGAAGGAAGCACGATAAAATTAGCCAAAAATATCCAGAATGTCTGCATCTGGGACACTTGGCAGCAGTGGAGGTGAGCTGTCTGCTATTGTGCAGGACATTCTGCTGCACATCGTGCTGACTGTGGGATGGCAGTAAGGGACTTCCACTGCCAGAGCCTGCAGCACTGCTTCAAAAGTAACAAACAACTGAAGTGCCACTGCAGCATTTCCAAATTCTCTCACACTCCCTATCAATTCCAGGCCAACTTATTTCAATTTAAAAACCAAAAGGGGAATTCATTTAACATCCTGTTCTGACAACTCAGCCCAAAGCCTTCCTGGATGAAGCCAACGAGATTGTTTCCATCAGCTCCAGTAAGTTTGGATCAAGATCTTGGGTCGCTTGCGCTGGCAACAAGAACCTGAGGCTGGAACGCAGCTAAAAGAGCCTGATGAAGTATGAGTCACAACATACCACAGCTCACAGTGTCTGAGCTCTATTGAGTGCACTATCAGCAGCAGAACGTTTGTTTGGGCCAACACAATGAACGCATGCCTGACACCATGGTTTTCAGTGAGCACAAATATGCAAATTTGAGTGCTCTCATCGCTTGTTTGTTCCAGTAAGAGACAAAGCAAGACAGCAAGAAAGAACAAAAGTGAAGGCTGTGAGATGGCAGAGGGTTGTTGACCTCTCTTTACCGGTGCCTCACAAAATAGCCAGCGGTTATCCCTCCCAGTCTTACAAAAAGACACATCAGAGAAAGTAATGTAATAACCCTGTCTCCACGGGAGGAGATGGCAGGAGATGGAGGAGTCCAGCGGCGATGCTGAGGTGCTGCTACTTCTGCCAGCAGTCTGATTGCAAAACAAGACATCAGGATTCCTTTTAAGCAAAATTCCACCCAAGCAGAGGCAGACATACAAAATATGAAAATCGAGGAAAAAGACTTACCAGCGGGAGTGCCCTGAGTTAAAGCCAGCTGCAGCAAGAAGGAACACCCCTGCCTCATTCATTTCCTGCACTGAACAGAAAGATTTTATGCAGAGCCTGACTGCTAAGTCTATTCCACTTTCTATCTTTCAGAGCTGAATAACAGGATTCTCTTCTGTCCCTCCATGGCTAAGAATCTCCAGCAAATGTATTTGCTTGATATACCATTTCTCATAGATTTCTTACTGCTTGTTTTTTTGCACCAAGATACATGTACCACATTTTTCACCCAGTCAGAAATAAAACATGAACAGCATCACAGAAGTATAGTAATCTCTCATTCAGTATCAGAAAAGACTCATTGCCAGTCATTCTTCTCCATTGGTATCCATTTGGTGTACAAAGACATTTGTTGACCTGGGAACTCTAATACAAAACAGCCTTTCAGAGTTTTCTTTCTTTCATTTTTCCATGTAAAGAATTTTTAATAAAAAAGCACAGTCTTGTGATTAAAATACTGACGCTATTTTAAAAGCAGTTTTCCAGAGACTGCCTAGCAAGCTGAAGCTATAAATGATATATATTTGAAGAACATTTCTAATAAAAACTTCATTGTTAATAAAGGGCAAGTATACTCAGGCTTGAAGATTTGTTCTGTCACATGTATCAGTCTTACAAACACTCAGACTGCATCTTATGGTGAAGTTGTTAATTCCTTCTTGCTAGCAGTTTCAGCCATTTTTTCTGTGTATCTCAATATATCTCTATGTATTCCTCTATATATCTCATGATTGAATGATTAGTGTGTTATTTATGAAAGCCTTCATTTCACAGGGGGAACCCTCATAAAATTACACAGACAGCTAAGAAAGAAAGGACAGAAAGCCTGTGGTTTTCCTACTGCTAGCTTTGTCACACCTCTTCATGGCAAGAAGGAATCCTTGAACACATACATCGCCCATCTGGGCCACATCACAGACAAAAGCCTAGCTGCAAAGCCATGCACAGGGAAAGGCAGCAGCCCTTACTGTCCGTGCCCTCACCTTGGAGTCCATGTTAGCAGCACAGTGCCCCATTGCCTCTCTGGCCGCTCTCTCTGCCCTCCTGCCCCAGTCTTATGCACGTAGACCAAAAGTGTGCTAGGTCAATGCCATCTCTGACATGTTTGCACAAGGCCTGCTGTGATCAGGACTTTGGTCCTGGTTGGTGCCAGCGCTGCCTGAATCCAAGCAACAAAGAAGAACCTGCTGCAAAAGAGGTTGAGAGCACCTTACAAGTACAATAATATATTGTTTAAATTACAACGTTGCCGTGATATGTGTAATTAAGCACCACTTTTAGGAAAACCATGGCACAATTTGTGCAAGCCTTCAAATCATCCAGATATTACAGCACTGAACAAAGGCTGTATTTTGTTCATGTGCACCTTGTGAGCATATCCAAATATTTTGGGCTTGATGAAATGTGATTTCCAGGTTCAAGATCTATGAATCTACAAGTTTTCACACATTTGTATAGTTGGCTGTAGAGACTCCTATTTCACAGATATGTGAAGAGTCAGGTGTATGGGCAGCTGGGAGATAGCCAATAAATTCGTCATGACTGTGTGTCTCCCCTCACCTGGCAGCACCAAGCTAGCCTTGCTTGGTGTGTCTCATCTCGTAGGGAATAAGCCTTCTGCCACAAATTTGCTGGACATACAAAGGTACAAGAGAAATCTCTTTAAAAAAAACCACAAAACCACACACACACAAAACCACCGCCCCCAAAATAGTTTCCTTGGTTACTTACCCAACAAAAAGACTCAGAATGGTACTGCAGGGAAAGTGAACAGGAGGAAACTGAAGCAAGGTTCCAGAGAGGAAGCAAATATTTACAGTCTTTGTTCTTTTTGAATCTTTTATAGGAGCCCTACAGGTTCTTAGCACTTATAGTGAGCAGCTTTTCCTCTGCTGTTGTAAAGTCTTAGCAGAGGAAAAGTATCAATAGATAAGATAAAAAGATAAAAAATAAAAAGATGTAAAATATTTAGAGGGTGCTTTTAATAATTAATCAACCCAAGAGCTTTTCAGTCTATCTATACTGACAGCACAGCCAAACCTTTGAAGAGAAGAAACAAAACTAAGTATCCAGACACCTATTAAAATGTGCCATCAGAGTGCTGTTCCGGGCTCCCTGAGTGTCACACTGCATCAAAGAAGCCACAACACCTGACCACTTTTTTCTGAGATCGTAACTCTGGGGCATACACAGCTTTTAATGGCAGGCTTGGCATGTGACATATTCTTTCCTTACTTCTTTGTGATGCTGTCTTGTGGCAAACACATTTCTGAGAGGATTTCTCCTGTGAGAAGTACCTACATGGTCACAAGTACCTACGGAGCTCCTAGCTCTGGTCAGGCTGCCCCTCATGATGACCGTACCAGCCTCAATGAGGAGTTAAGCAACACACTGCCACCCACATTTCAGTGTCCACCAAGCGTCTGTGGAGCTCTGTGCTGCATGACTGTCTGCTCCCTCAGTCCAGTCCATGCTCTGTGACTGACTCACCCGCAAAGCACAAGAATGGCTTTCCACAAGGAAAGCAGGCAGTTTACATGCAAATAAATGCCACTCATTTTTTTTTTTTTTTTAATAAAAAAGCAACTGTTCCCAGGAATAATACTTAATCTATAAAATTCTACACAATTATGAAGGAGAGCTACAAATCAAATCACAGCAAGACATCTTATTTGAAGAACTGCTTGCAAGTAATTTTTCTCATTACTCAGAGCATGTTGCAAAAAGGAACAGGAAGAGTAGAAAACAGTTGCCTGTCGAGCAGAACAGACCTGGCATAATCTACTTCTACCCCTTGTTTAAATGACACCAGGGATATAAGGACAATAACTACAAATTCTCCTAGACTGAGACAGTTTAGTGAGTATGTTATCATCTATGATAACTACCGTGCAAACTCTCAGATGAGTTAACCTCAATATTTTCAGGATAGTGACAGCTACAATCCGATATCACATCAGCTAAGATGCTGATCAGCATCTTCTATAGCTGATCAGCTTCTCTTCTATAGCTGTTTTTCAGCTTTTCTAAGGTATGGGCTTGAGCTGAGCAAGGACTAAGGCTACCTCTCACACCACTACTGCTGTTGACATGGCTGGGCAAAACTCCAAGCAGACCATCCCTAAATCTGGCCTCTTCCTCTCTTAGGTCTCACATGACGATCTGGCCCTGCATGACCTGGAAGAGCCATGGCTATGATTGCAAAGGGCATGTGACTGCAAGGGCCTTGGCCTCCTTGTTTGGGCACTGCTGGAGACTTCTCTAACAGCGATGTTGCAGGCTCTGAAAAGTGCAGAAATGGCAAAACTCCTAATGACAACTGCTGCTTCTGACCTTTACATGCTAGGATCAATACAGACATAGGAACAAAGCAAAGCAGATTGGCGTTCTGTTGAGTCTTCCTTTCTACAGCCATCTTCATCCCAACTGTGTTCATTTGGTTTTAGGAAAAGGTAACTTCTGCTGTTGAGGCGAACAAGTACTGCAGTGTTTATTCAAGACCACAACAGCCTCAGGGTCTTAGGGCATATTTCATTGATACTATGTAAATAATCAATTCTTTGAAAGACCAGAATAGCTGTAAACCAGACCTGTAGGCAAACCACGCTTTCATGCATGCTGCTAAGTTTCCTTTTTTTTTTTTTTTTTTTTTTTTGTTTGGTTTTTTTTTTTTTATGAAAGCAATGAAAATCCCCAGCCATTACAGCACTGAGTAACTTTCTCTTGGTTCTCAGGATAAGAGGAAGTGGAATTCCTTCAACAGTCATCCTAACAAAGAGTAATTTTATCCAGAGTTTGCTCTCTAAGATAAGGCTACTCACTTCAAAGTTTGTATTGTTTATCAAGAGGGCAAACATCAATAAACTATTACAATGGATATAAAAGACAGTTTCTTGTAGATCTAAAAAATTTCTTGCAGAAATTGCATCAGGGCTCCACATCTTATTTCCCTCAGCTGTAAAATGGTAGCAAGGTTGCCTGCTATACTGGTGTCTCCAGATAAACAGATTTGGCACTACAACATAATGCTAGGGAGACTGTGCACAGGGTATGGGACTAAAATTCTTTAAAAATCAATCCAGATTGTTTCCACATACTGTGGATGGGTATGAAGTCCAAACCTTCAGTTTTACATTGCACACATTGAATAGGTGTAAAAAATAAAGGAAGAGGGAATGAGAAGACAACACTTACTGACATTTGTACATCTAACATCAGACATGAAGTGTCTCACTGGAGAAGAACACCACAAAATCAGTTCCTCTATCTAATAACCCTTAACAAATATTATTTGTTTTTACAAATATGTTCCATGGCATCTGTGACACAGGGATCCAAAATTATTTAATTATGTTTCACGTCATCTTAGTGAGACCATAAGAAGGCATACATAAAGATACCATTCCTTCTAGCTTTTAAACAACATTTATTGCTGGGACAGCACATAGCAACACTTAGCACCCATACACATCAAGGAGAGCTAGGCCAATCCGCATTGGGTTGGCAAAGCTCTCGCTGTGTGACCATCACTGCTACTGAGGCTGCAGCCTGGCATGGACCAACTCTTACACAAAAACAATGGTGGAGTTCTGAGGAATGCAAGCGTGCATAGCATCAGTGTGATAGCTTCTTCGAAAGACATCTCTAGTGGCACTTCTGCCTTTGCTGCCACACTTGGGTGAGCACTGTCAGCTGAGTGTGAACACATGGCATCATCATGTCCTGAACCCTCTCCCAATACCAGCTCAGTCCAACACCTGCGTGGAGATGGATCACAGCTCATTCTGCACAGGAACAGAGAGTGAGATCACACTGAAGCTGAAGGTCAGGTTGGTAAGTCCCTATTAGACATACAGATTAAGTGCCACTCACTCAAGGAAAAGGAAAGCTCTGAGTACTTAACTTTGTTGAAAACCAGCCTTTTGTTAGGGTCCCACTTCAGAAATCTTGAGCATCAAGTAAAAGCCCAAGTATATCCCTCTACACAATAAGGGCAATGAATAAAACAACCCACCCGTGCCAGAGAACTTCAAAGGCCTGAATTAAAAACAATTTGCAAAGCACACCGGCCATTATCCTTGCTGCCAGAGCACTTCCTAACGCTGGATAAATCCAAAGCAGAAACTCACCAAAAAAAAGCTTCTCTGTCAAAAACTTGTCTACTTTTAAAGGCAGAAGCATTTTCCACAGCCCCATGGGCAGCTTCTACTATGCCATGAGTTACACTGAGCAATGAAAGTGCTGATCCTGCCATAGCACTTGCGCTAGAAACAACACGTACTGTACAGCCTAATTCCATAATGCTCATTCTCAGATATAGCCCCACAGAAGTTAATGGGATTATGGAGGGGCTTGAAGACTTCAGGATCTGACCAACAGAACCTCTGGGTCACTGCAAAGGCAATGAAAGAAAGCTCAATGATCATTCATCTTAGGAGATACACACTGCAGACTTTGCTCAAACAAAACCAGTAAAAACATCAACAGCATGGCTCTGGTCTCCATCAGGTCTATTCTGTGGCCAAACAAAGAGGCATTCAGTGAAGCGAAGGACGAGGAAAATGAAAAAGCAGCAGTGAAACACACAGGCACAGATCATTAGCCAGTGTAGCTCTCTGCTGCAGGATACCATTCAGACAGCATTTTGTATTAATATCATAAAGTAATTGGCACACTGGATATAGCAACACAACAGAATAAACACATGCTGTGACCAACATCTGCTGCCATCAGTGAGCAGAGTGCCTGCACACATGTATGCACCACAGCATACACACACACAGAGCATATTCTTACAATCAGGACACGTAACTCACGTGAAGGTTTGATGTTCCTGTCTTTTCCCCTGGGTTCAGTCTCCACAAAAGCCATCAGCTCCATAATTCCACATTTGCAAAGTGCTTGCAGAGTGCTTTTCCCCCCACCCCAATTATTTCCCCTACCCTACAAATAGGGAACACAAGAAGAGACCTGCTCATCACATGACCTTCCTCAGGAGGGCATTTCCATGTGCATGCTCTGAAGTGCCTGTGCATTGAACAGAAAGGGCACATGCAACACACAGTGCATGTCCTCCTGACTCCAGGTCAGTCTTTGGGGAGCGCATGCTGCATTGGGCACCATTTCTTTCTTCTTGAACACAGGTTAGGCACGAGCTCGTGCGTATGAGTTTATCTTTGTCAGAAATCCAGTGCATTACAAAGAAGGCAGTCACTGTGTTTTGACTGCCTAAATATCAAAATCTCCATTTTTTATGGAACTATCCAAATGATATTGGCTTTATCAAACAGATTTACCTTTAAAAGTACTATCCTTATTTTAAGGTAATAAATGCAGTTACTGGACTAGAGAAGCATAAAAGAAACAGGAGTCAATAAGGGCACCAATGTGACACACACCTATTTTCTGTCTGTGCATACACATAGCACACCCAGCCCTCCAGCTGAGGAGGCAGCAGCTCCATGGGTAACCTTGAGCAGGCTGAGCCTCCCCTTGTCCTTCCTGAGACTCCCTGGATGAGAAGGATCTGGGACAGACACTGCTTCACTGTTTCTTTTTTATGGCACAGAAGTATCAGCTACACCAGAAAACAATCTTTCAGTGGCACGATTCGTAAAAATGAAATACTAATGTACCAGACACTGCCTTGGAAGAGCAGCACGGTCAGCAGCACTAAGCAGGATAAAGAAGCAGGAACCTCAAGTAGGCAAACGTTGCTCTTAGGGAGGAAGAGTGAGGAGCGCCCTGCTGTGCACAAACCCTTTGGACAGCCCCTGCCCAGAGCTGACCCCTCGCCAGGCTGTGCTCAGTGCCTAGAGGCACAGCTGGGGCAGACATGAGCGCAGGGCACTCACTGGTTAAAAATCAAACGTGGGTAACAGCAGGAGCTCAGGCAGTTTGCTGAAATGAGATCTGCACAGCAGGGCATGTGTGGCTTTTCTTCATTACTCTAATAGCCTAATAAATAAATAAAGTCCATGGCAATCATGCCGGTGATTTTTATTTTTTTTCTCCTCTCTTTTCCAAGACACCTTAGGAGAGAGATGGCTATACTGGAGCTGCAGAATCCAGTACTGGAAAAAAAAAAAAAAAAAAAAAAAAAAACAACCGAGAGCTAAACGAAGCCGTTTCTGTGACAGGACTAGAACTACTGCAAATTCTCAGCACCTGAGCCACCCACCATTCACAAACACCAGCAATACATGTAGACCTCGACAGAGTAGCACACCAAATACAACCTGAACACAAACGGCAGCCGCCAAGAGCAGCCGGCAGCCTCCCCTCCGGCTGGGGACGCAGCGCTCCCGGCCACGCACCGCGGCCCCGGCTTCACCCCAAACGCAGTGAGTGCGGTACCCGGGGCCGCTCTCGGAGCGCCGCACGCAGGGCAGCTCTCGTGCGCTGCTGACTCGGTAATTGCATTATCCGCAGCCGCTGATGAATGAACAACCGTAATGCATACATCCTGGCCCGGCTCTCCCGGGACAAGGCGACGCGGAGTCTGAGCTCCGGTCCCGCTCTGTGCCGCGTCCGAAGGGCACGGAACGTGCCCGTGTGCATTCCCTTTCATTTTAAAAGCAACGTTACGTTCTTTCCCTATTCCCACGGAAGGAAAAATAACATTTCTATTTACAAGCAAGAGAAAGTCCTTCTCAAACCTACTTCTCTACATCTGCGATGTATTTTACCTGCAAACAGTGAGGCTTAAACAGAAGCTTGCAAAAACTACGGCGTACTGCGGATCACATCTACACCGAAAGACAGAGCGAGAGGCCACTACCCCGCAGCAGAACGACCCCTTACAGAACCCCCGTCCTTACGGCTATTGAATAAAATGGAGCCAGAGAGATTTCCGCGGCGCAGCCGCCGCAGCAAATGCGCGGAGCTCATCCGCTTACCGCCAGAGCCGGCCCCGCACACCGTACCGTACCGCAGCTCCTCCGGCCCCGCGCCGCTCTCCCGGCTCCGCCGCCGCTGCTCCCCGGCAGGCGGGGGCCGATGGGCGCCGCCCCCGCCCGCCCCCCGCCCGCGGCGCGGCAGCCTCCGCCCGGCCCAGCAGCCTCGGGCCCAGCGCTGCGGGAAATACGAAACGAACGGGGATCCCAGCAGTGAACCGCGCTGCGGGGCGGGTGGCCCCAGCCTCTCGGCGACCTGTTGAGCGCGTGCCCGCAGAAGACAGAGTGGCTCTGGGGGCTGCGGGTGGCAAGCTGTGGGCAGTTCGGGGGCTGGGACGGGACTGCATCCTTCCTTGGATTTACCGCGTGTTGTACAGAGAGAGGCGAAGGAAGCTGGGAGAAAGAACTGGGAGATTGCTGAACGCTTCACCCGGAAAAAAATAAATGGAATCAAATAGAGGAGAATGAAAATCCCTACTAACTCCCTGCTGCACTTGCCCTGCGTTATGTGAGATTAATACTACAGATTAGTTTCGTTAATGCTTAGAGGCACTGCATCGGCTTAGGCACTCCAAAAAGCGAGAGCAAGCCAGCCCGGCACATGCACAAAACACACCAGTGGATCTAACATCGCAGGGTCTGAGCGAACTCCTTTGTGTGAGGAGGAAACGCAGTGGACAGGGAGGGAACTTCATCCTTCACAGGCTACCGTGGAATCTTGCCATCCCTTCCTCAGCAATTGCAATTCTGTTCTTTCTTTTCCTCCTTCCAAATTCTTTTTCATCTCCAATATGCTAATAGCTATAGAAATCTCACTTATCTGTCTTAACTTGAACCCATGGATCAAAAATATCTGCAAGTAATTCAAAGCAATTGCTCGAAGAAATGAAGTAGACATCAATCAGTTGATGTGACAAAAGATCAAACGTATTTTAGCTACAATTGCCAGAAGATGCAAAGGAAGTCCGGTACCAAACTTCACTCCATTTGGAAGGCCAGCTGGAAAAAGCCCTTAATTTCAGGGTGATGAATGTGCACAAAGGCAGGCGTTCTGCCCTCCAGATGGGGACGGAAGTTGCAGCAATGCACTGAGCAGCCCTTGGCTTCTCACAGTCCCCAGGGAGAGGAACGTGACCATAATCGCAGAGCAATCAGCCAGCCCAGAAATCTCAGAACTGAAACCTGGCCTGAGTAGAAGACAAACAGTGGGGCAAGAACTCCTGCCACACCTGTCTGCTTCTCTGACCCAATGCAAGAAGGGCAATACAAACTGTGGCACCCTGCCAAACCCACTTAGGCACCAGCCCTCACCTTACCCAGGCTGAATGACATCAAGGAGAAAAACTTGAGATTTTACCCACTGATTCCTCCCTCTCCCTTGCAAAGGACTCCCTGTGCTGCAAGAACAGCAGTCGGGGAAGATAATTCAAAGGCCGGGGGTTGACCTAATACCTGAAGCACTCAGTTTCAATTTAGAGACTCACTGAAGTGGAGAATGTGTGTAAGGGTGCACATGTGTCCATATGCACACAGAAGAGGCAGAACTCAGGGTGAGCACAAGGTAGGCAGCAGCCAAGTGGATGGTACTGCTCATCCCTCCTGACTGCCCAGGGCTCGTGAGGTCTGTTTGCCTGTACAGAATTGGTGCCTTTAGGGACTAGCTCAAGGGCTTCAGGTGGATTGGAAGCATGTTAGTTGGTCCCTAGAGCCAGGAATGTCAGTGCCGAATTAGAATATTTTCTTTCTTACAGGCTTGTGTGCAGGGAATCATAGAATTGTTGAGTCATTAAGATTAGAAACCACTAAGATCATCTAGTCCAACATCAACCCACCACCACTGTGTCCACTAATCCCATCCCTCTGTGCTCCACCTGCCCTATGCCTGAACACCCCCAGGGACAGTTACTCCATCACCTCCCTGGGCAGCCTCTGCCAGTGCATTGCCACTCTTCCTGAGAACAAATTTTACCTAATATCCAACCTGAACCTCCTCTGGTGCTACTTAAGGAAGGCAGATAGGTGCTAAGCACAACAGGTCTGTGTATCACATATACACTGGAGACACAGCATGAAGCTGTGATACACTACTGCCTCATTAGCACACCCCAGGGCAAGAAGTCCTGGGCCTTGTTGTGTCTGCACTGTTCATGGACACCTCTGCTATCCTTAGGAAGCTGCTTTCTGGACCTTCTGCATCAGTACACGGACTTGATGGGATCCCAAGGAATGCACAAATGACTCCTTCCTGCTTGCAGCAAAGACAGACACTGCTGTGGTTTAAGCTGAGCACCAACATCTGAGGAATGGCACCAGATGTTCCACCTCCAGCAGCAAGCAACTGGAAGTCAGAGCACAGAGAAAGCAGGACTGCAAGTGAAAGCATACTTATACAGCCCAATACTCAAAGCCTGTTGAGCTTCTGTGAATATCCACCTCAATTAGAGCAGACATCCATCAAAAGATGCCCCAAAAACAAGCCTGTACCATCTAGTTCATACAGATAAAAACCAACCACAGGCTATCTGTGAGAAGCCAGAATTTCCTGAAGAACAGGAGAGGGCTTTGCACAGTACCACTGTAAAGGTGACTTCACAGATGCCCATCTCTTAAGAGCTTTGGAAGCTACAAACACTCATCTCCTGACATGTCCTATCCTGGAGATGACTTCCTGCTTGTGCGCCTGCTGCTTTAAAGAAGGCACAGGGCTGGCTGCTGTGTTACCACTTTCCAGATGGCACAGGGAGAGAAGAGCATGAGAGACAGCAGGTATGTTGCAGAGCCAGTTGTGTCATTGGGAAGTGAATCCAGCTCCTCCCATGAGAAGCCAGAGAGAGCAAAGGTGCTATCACCAAGCACCTAATGGCCTTCCCAGTGATACTAACGGGCAGGTATTTAAGGCTTTGTTCTATGTGCTAACACAAAGCCTGCACCACATTTGCAAACCTGAGACATTACCCAGGAGCTCTGGAATTTTAATGCTAATCTAAATAACATCACAGAAACAAGATAAATGTAATGGCTAAATAGCTGGTATGAGAAAACAGAGATAAATGGATTACAGCGCAATGCAGACAAAAAGCAATCAAAAGAAGATCAGAATCTTTCTTACTGGGAAGACTTTGGCTACTATACACAATTGCTTTATTTTCCCCATTACACTCAAATTTTGAAGCATGAACTGAAAAAAAATTGATAAATGTGACCATTCAAGAGTCAGCTAGTGTTTGAGTCCACATACAGGTTGCAGGAGCTGTGATACAAAAGATGTAAAATTGCAAGTTCACAGTGACATATTCAGATGTAATAAATATGTAGGCACAGATAATCCTAAGTTATTGAAGTCTGTGAGACTTCTGAGATCATTTTCATGAAAATGGAGGTTTATCACATTGACCAGAAAATACCCCAAAGTGTGCCTCTGGGGTATGCTGGAAGAGGCACATGTCAGCTCTTTTCAGCCAACTGCTGCAAGATGGTGGAATGGGGATGTCCTAAGCAGGGTGGCATGGGAATTGGACAGGATCACTCTTCGTGTCACAGCCTCAATGTGAGGCACCTGTGCCAGGCCTCCCAGTCAGCATTACACTGCTCAAACCAGACACACAAAGTTGCGCTGATTCCATGAAGGCATCCAGACAGAACAGCTGCAACATTTTCCAAAGGCAAAATCATAGAGTGCAGTGAAATGGAAATTGTATTGTATTTTACATTGCTAACAGAGGATTTACAAGCACACAAGCTATGTTTGTTCAGTCAGAGTTGAAAAGGAAACCAGAATCATATGAACCATCCCTCTAATCCATGGGCCCAGTGAACAGGATGACCCCAGCTATTGTCTCAGTACGTGTGGCTTGGGGTCCTTAATCCTTCAAATTACTGGCATGGTGCACTCGTTCTGTGACAGCTCTTTCCAACCGTCTTCCTAACTCTACTGTTTTGTTTTCTGCTTGAGTAAATAGCTGAGGTAAAAGTGACATGCTTGCCTTCTATTGTCAGGGTGAATGGGCCTGGATCTACTAACTCTGCACAGGCTAACAGGGTAGCTGCTCTCTTGAAGGGCTCCCTTCTGAGGTGATCTTGAATAGTTTTGTGATACAGTCTTCAACCTTGGAGGCCTCCAGCATTGTCTGTGGTACATGCTGAAGCATCCCAGCTGATACAGGAAAGGTAAAAACAGCCTCATCTTCTGTAAAACCTAATAATCAGATTTGCACTTGTTCTTTGAGCAACCCTTATCTATCCTTGAAAGACTCAGAGTTGCTTTCAAACCATTTAGAGTCTCCAGAGAGTTTCAATACCTTCATTCTTCATAATATAAATGGAATCACAGTAAAGAAACCATAGTTCTTGTTGATGTTGATAGGAAAACGTGAAGTAAGCAGCATTCTGTCTGTGCTTGCTCCAGAGACTTACTGGAGAGAGAAGACGAAGACAACCTTGGTATCTGTTCAGTTCTAACTGCCAGGAGGAATGAGGACTCTTAGTGTTGGTTTAGCACGTCTTTTGCTGGGAACCAGGTAAGGGAAGAAGTGGGCTTTGACACTCAAGACAGCCTCTACTGAACAGAGAGATAGTCTGACTTTTCCTTAACTGGCACACCATGACAGGCTATTCCTTCTCTCCGCCTGGTGGACGGGGTAACACGGAGGAGGAAGTACTGACCTAATCTTTCAGAGACCTGGCACTGCTTTCAGCTTCGCCACCACTTCTGCATGCAGCCTTTTATAAGACACTTACCTCTATGGCACTGCCTATATTTCTAGAGCCTTCAATTCTGGCAGGGTCTGCCACGCATACTAATTTCCATCAAGACATTCCATTTCTTATGCAGAAATTCAAGGAAGTTTGTATTCAGCTGAGAATATTGCAGACCACACGTACAAGAAACACGTTCTTCCTCAAAAGGAGTGTCTTGCTGTGCAGTTGTGACAGGGTGTGTGGGCGCATATTTCTGCCTGGCATAATTAATCATTAAACAACTTCAACAAATGATTCT